TATGAAATATATAGCCAAAAATGAGTAAAATATAGAATTTGTAAGAATATTAAATATTATAGAATATTACTTTTATTTGTGTCAAATCTATAATATTAAATAGGGCATACTTTAATAAGTTTATTCGACGGTATCAAATAAACTTATCTAACAGTCTCCAACATCCTTCTCAAAACCATTCACATTGAATTTCTACCCTCCCAAATCCATTACTTCTCACTTACGTTGCACCGTGCCTTCAGGCACGGGTTACCCCTCGTTTTTAATATATTATAACTCTATTATTATTTAAAAAATATATTATATTATTTTAATATTTGTGTCCTTGCCGTACCTATGTCCTATATTTTTGAACTTTGTCGTATCCCTGTCTTCGTATCCTTGCTCCAAGCCTGGGGATGGTGATGTGTTATGCAGAAATCTGTCTTGCCCAGCTGTGAACATTATGCTATAAAAGGAGATGCACTTTGGTTATCTTTGGAGAGCACATGACCAAAGGGCAACCACTTATCCACACCTGATACTAGGATAACTCTCTCTCTCTCTCTCTCTGCAGACTATGTAATGCAATCACATGCATGTCCATCTGTGTGTATTTCTTTCTCCATTTTTTCTTGGAATGTTTATTTTTATGGATGTTAGAAATATTCAAGGATTAGTGAGGATTATAGATCTGTCATAGAGTGCTTGTTCCTCACTTTTAACTAAGCATACAAATTGTGTTTCAGAGTGGGAGAAGACGCTACAACTAATAGGTGTTATTGGCATTGGTCAGGTAATTATTCTCTTTTCCAGTTAAATGTGCTGTTTAAAGTTATAAGCTCCCATCCCTTCCCAAGGAAAAAAGAAATAGGAAGGCTTTAACCACTTGAACTTAGTCAAGATGCTTTCATTATATTTGGGGATGTGTCCTGAGATTGACAAGTGCAGGGCATAATCATCCACATTCGTTTTTATGAATGACGTAGATAAAAATGTATAATGGTCTATAGGTAAGAGGATACAGTTGATGGTTATGATGGTCTGGTAATGTTGTTTTTGCTCAGCTTATCTCATAGTTAAGAATTATATTTCCATACCTGTTTATTCAGGTCCAATCATTGGCTTTCCATTGATTACAGATATGGGCTACACCTTAGATTTCCCATTTCCATTTATTTTTAGCTATTTTTAAAGTCACACAGTATGCCTAGGAGATCTATAGGGTTGAAATAATTGAACCGCACACACACTGCCTTGGAGATCCTCAGTTCTTCAAGGTAGAATGAGTGGATTAATTGAATGTACTCTAATTCTTCCGACATTAATTACTCAGTGTGGTGTGGCTAGGGTTCTAAACTAAATGGTCCAAAAACATTGTATATATTCATGAGTTTGCATGTACCGAATGTCTTGAATAGTGTTTAGATTCTGTTACTGGTCCCCCATAGAGGCTGCATGCGAGATGCCCCTTCCCAATTTAATTTTTGTGCAGTGTTAAAAGGAAAAAAGATTTGCTATCCCATTTTAGTTACATATATACTGACTTTTATTTGCCTTCATTGCTTGGTTCATTTTCACTCTTTACCAGACTATATATCGGCGGATTGGTTCTTATGAGGACTCAGAAGATTTTAAGCAAGATGTGAGGTAAAGCATACTTCATGAAGCCCTTCTGAAATATCTATAAAAAAGTAGTCCTTAAATGCCTATTTTTATTTTGATTGCTTCATTGTATGTGTGACTTCATAGAATCTGAAGTTTTATTCAATGAGTGAAAGATGAGCTTTATGGGTATGAAGAGATAATCTTAATCTTTCTTCCCAAACATCATGGCACGTGGGGGTATTATGCATATTATGGCTTAATTAGTAAAATAAATCCTGATATTATATTTTGAGGTATTTCAAGATGTTTCAACCATTATTTTGAGTGTTTCGAAAACAAATTTCCAATTTTTTTTCTCCATTTCTATTATGTTTTCAAAACATTTCCGAAATGTTTTTCATTTATAGGTGACCGAAACAATTCATCTAAATAAAATTTTGATCCTTGTTCAAAGTATAATACAAATGCATCTCATACACACGTAAACCTTTCTTAGTTAAGGCCACCTCTGGGGTCACATACACAAAACTACTACAATTCCTATAGCTAGCCATGGACTGTTTCTGACTTGATTGAACTCCTCTACATGTCAGCCTGGGATTTATCGAAGTCTAGGACAATCCTTGAAGGTCGGAAAAGTGATTTTGAATTGAAACAAAATAAAATGCATGCAAGAAGCTTGAATTCAACTCCACAAAGCCTTGTCCTTTCCAAAGTCTTTTGGGAAAATTATGCAATCCCTGAGGCAAGCATAAAATAAACTTCATCGTAATGTTTGAAAAGTAATTGCTATCCCATGTCTGAGTTTGTTGGTTAATGGGATTTGAGGAAAATACTGCAATGACCATTTTATCCCTTGGTAAAGTCAAATATAACAACCCAAGTCCAAATTTCAAACCCAAACCAAAGCCCGACTAACAAACCCACACCATTGAAAACAAAAACCACCCCAACCTCTATGTTTCTTTCTCCCCACCACATGACCCAAATCCGCTGTTCTCCTCTCCCACGCAACCCCAACTCCTAAACATCTCCCAAAAATCTCCATTCAACACCCTCCGCTCGCTAGTTCTCTGTACCCCTAAACCAGACCCCCTCTTGGTTATATGTATACACACATATGTAAGTGTATATATTTCATCTTAGTCAAGAGAGGGAGACTGTGCATGTGTGTATCTTTGGTGGTGATTATTAGTGGTTACGGGGTTGCCGGAGGTGGGTTTCGGACCTTTCGGTGGTGATAGTAGTGAGTTTTTTGGAGCGTTGGGTGGGCCGAGAGAGAGAGTTGCAATTGTATTTTTTTTCATAATTTTTGTCATCATGTCTCTTTTTTTTCTTATTCATTCATTTTTATTGGGATAAAGGTGGACTAGGTATTTTGAGAAAAAAAAATTAATGACATCAGCATAACTGATTTGGTCAACGGTGTATCTGCAATCTTCCACCCCTCGAAGGGAAAAATATATTTTATATTAGTTTCCAAGGTAATTTGTGTAATTTGCCCTATTCTTTTTAAAACATATGTTGATTGAATCCATAGGTGTGAAGTTAGGGCCTATAGAGCCTATTCACATAGCGTTCACAAGATAGATTTTGGATCAGTTCAGACAGCTTTATTATTAAAAGATAGGGGATCCAATTCTTTTTTTGGTGGGGGAGGGATAAAGGGTAGCAACCAAAGGTTTACTCGTTTGGTGTCTTGTTTTCTAGTTGGGATTTCTTGTCTGCTAGGTTATATTGGAGCAACATTGTATGAGAACTTGTAACCCATTTTTGGGGATTATCCTTTTTACTTGACTTCCAATTCTACTAGAAGACTTCCTCACAAAATAGTTCCATATACTTGACATTTAGAAACCTCGGACCCCTTATTTAAGTGCCTTGTTTTTAAAAACCTCGCCTCTAGGCATATGTGTATTTTCACTTGTTTATTTGGAATCAATCATATGAATCTTGTTTGCCACTCAATGACCTCTGTTGAAGAGTAGATGTATGCGCATGTGTGTAAATGCATTTATTGGCATATGTGAGAACATACATACACCATGCATGTGACTAAATTGGAGAATCTTAAATTTCTTTCCCTATTTTGCGTCATTAGAAAATATAAATGGACTAACAATAATCCTGTGTCTAAAGACACTATACAATACCAGCAATCGAACACTGATATGCAATATTTATATTTTAAATAGTAATTTTTAGTTTCTTTAATTACGCAATTTAAAATTAAAATGAAAAGAGCGATAGATGTGGATTGATAAGATTGTTTGATATTGAAGAGTGAGTTGTCTAAGAGAAATTGATGTTTTTGGACGGAAAAAAAATTTTTGGGTTGAATTTTGTACTATTGAATCAAAGTAAGATGAAGATTGAATCAATCTTGACTATTGTTGTGCTTTTCTAAGTTGAGAAATTTAACTTCCTAACTGATAGATACATGTCAAATTAATTAGAGAGAAAAGAAACCAATCCCCAAAACCTATCGCTGCCAATTGGGGTCTAACTATGCGAATCTTCGAATCTATTTTGTAGAAGAAGGCTTAATATAACATGGCCGTGGAATAAAAGTTTGTCATAATAAAAAGTTTACATACTGTGGGCAAGAGTAAGCCTGTCAAAATTGGACACGACACGATTAACCGAAACGAATTGACACGAATTAAGTGGGTTTGAGTGAGATCTTAACGGGTTTGAATGGTAAACAGATTGACCCGCCAGACACGTTTAATAAACGGATCGTGTTCGGGTGAGATCTGTCTATAGAAGGCTGCCTTGCCTATAAAAGGCAGTGACCTTTTACCTTTTTTTTTTAGCCTTCACGTCTGATTTATATGTGAGATTCAGCTAGAAATTCCTCTTTTTTGAGGTAAATACAGTTGGCAGTAAAAAAAGTAGAATATTAAAATTTGTTGATATAATGTTTTTTTAAATTAAACGGATTAAACAAGTCGTGTGATGTTACCCTTTTATTAAACGGGTTGTGTTCGTGTTCCTGTTGAGATTTTTTATCTGTTTATTAAACGTGCCGTGTACGGGTTTATATGTTTTTCACCAATCACCCGTTTAACCCAACACGTTTGACACCCCTGGGCAAGAGCATTGTCATCATACATGCACAAGAATGATACCCCTGTGCCTCACTGACCTGAAACTCCTATTTTCATAGAAACACAGTGGGTGTTCTCAGAACATATGATGGTCATATTCTAAGGCTCCTGTCCAACTTTGGGAAGTCTTGAATCCCTAAAATCTAACACAGGTCCTATGGCAACACCTCTTAACAATTGGTGGGTACAAGGAACATTGTATCACATATCTTGCAGGACATCTTATTTTCTTCATCATTGTACATGCAATATTTGAAAGTGATAATTGGCAATTCTCAGTTGTCTCGTCTGTGTTCTATAAAGGTTACTGCTTGCTCCTGTTAGACTGGGAGGTCAGGCAATTTCTTGGGCTGCTGGGAAGTTAGAAACTAGCCGGAATGGACTCCCAATATCACCTTCATCATCAGATGTTCAGAGCAGGTGTTGCAGGCTGCTGCAAAGCATGAATCTCAACAATCTGATACTGAGGAAAACCAAGAAACATCTCCTGAATTGATGGCTCCCGCAAATGAGAATGTAGATCTCTCTGAAGCATAGAGATTAAGTTTTCCTTGCAATTATATATATGTGAATATGAGAGCTTAGCCGAGTTGTATCACTGTGCAATGGAAGTTGGTTGACATACCATGATTGTGAGACTCTGATTTTAGGTTCAGC